GGGGGGGGGGGGGGGGGGGGGGGGGGGGGGGGGGGGGGGGGGGGATAGTCGCCCCGGTGGTCTAGTTGGTATCCTCGAATCCATCTAGAGGTCAGGTCAGGGGTTCGAATTGGCGTAAGCGAGCTTTTCTTGCAAAGTGAATTTTTCTCTCGCTTCCGCTCCTGGCCTAGTGGATAGCGCTAGTTCGTGTGTACACAGAGGGAAGAGAGTGCTGAACTCTTCTCGCATTAAAAAACGAAGCCAGAGTACCGCAGGAGGGGAGGGTAGAGAGGGGCTCTTCTGTGTGACCATGGGTTGGAGTAAACGGCACTGGGTGTGTCAGCGCTGACTTGAAGTGAAGACAAAAAAAAAAAAATCCAATCCAACGGACGTGCACACAAGTCACAAGAGCCGATGGACTCTTCTGTTTACATCAAAATATCCAATCTCTCCCTCACTGGTTTTTCGAAAAAAAACGCAGCAGATGCAGAAATGGCGGAACGCACACGCCAACCCACCCCGACCGGCGAACCGGTCGAACACGACAAACCCAGCGAGGTGGTCACCCGTCTCCCGGGACAACATGCGTCGGTTGCTCGACGCTAAACCGTCGTTATGTCGACGCTGAAATACTACTTGCAACCAGGCATGCATGCTTTGCCACGCGAACCGGCGTGTGCATGTACATGACGTGCGCGTACCTTGTACTCGCTCATCGCCGCCGCGCACGCCGTGGTCTCGGCGCAGGTTGCACGGATTTTTGTCAAGGGGTCTACTGGCTCCTCGTCATCCTAAGGGCGGTGCGCCGTGCCGCGTCGCGCGACAGACAAGACAGACATACAGAAGGAGAGACAAAAGTGGGGAGGAAGAAGACATCACATGAAAGGAACGGGGGCCTCCAAATGAACGCGGCAAAGTGGGAGGGGAGCAGGCATCAAGACGCAGTCAACAGGTGTAAAAAAAAGGCGAGGGGGGCACAACGTGCGTGTGTTGCTGTCTCGCATTTTGGTCCCGCTTTGTACATCTGGAAGACTGGTAGCGTTGGGGAGCCGGTAGGTAACCACACGCACACATGACAACATGCTCCACCGTGGGGAGAGTGGGGCGGAATCGATGGTGACTGCCGTTGCTATCCCGCTAGTACCGACGTCGTTTTCCTTGGCCATCTGCTGGTGCGCTCGGTGATGCAGCCGTAGTGAGCCAGAAATGTTCTTATCGTGTATCGTTTGATGTGCGTGTCATGTTGCTTAGTCCTTCATCACCACGCACTACGCGCGCGATAAGTATCGAGAGGTGATAGCCCCTCCTCCGGGCGTCTTAACAGATTAATCAAAACCGCGTTGTGGCGAAAGCCGGACGATAAATACCCAGCGCCGGTATTGTGTGGGTGCCAACATTGCGGCGATGACTCTTGCTGCAGACCTCGGAAGTAAACCTGAAGATGTGCACCAAAATCTAATAGACAGGGTAAATGTACTGCTTAAAGTCGGAAGCAACTCTACTAGTGATTTTCTACGGCGAGTTAATTCTCGATGCTTGGCAACTAATGTTGTACGTGCAAATCTACCTGCTCTCGGTTCTAAAACGAACGCATAATAACATTACAGACCATGGATTACTTCGAATACATCGTCAACCGTGCGTTTTATAACTACACCAGCAACTGCTGTTATGATGTGCCAACAACGATTCTATTCCCGAGCTGCTGCTCAGAATACAGTGCACAAAATACGCCCAGGCTTTTTATCGGGCATACCGCACCAACAACGCACGACCGTATGTGCCACCGGTCGATGTACCCGCCACCACCTGACCCTCCCCAAATCGTGTGTGGGAGAGACTTCGGCAAAACCATGCAAAATGCGCAACACCGCTACCAAGGGGGCCAAGACACATGAAGGGGCAAAATTTCGCCGCGTCCACGCCACGGCTGGCGTAACGCTAAGCGCACGAGACGGGCGTCTCTCGCTGCTCAATCACACCGCACCCGTGTGGGCGTGTAAGTGAATCACATCTCACCAACGCAAATCCGCGTACGAAACATCAGGGTACAGCAGTATTGTTAGGTGTGTGTGTGTGGACGACTTTGTGATGGCGGAGACAGTCAAAGCGCAGCGTTGCAATCCAAAAGCCGTCACACACAGGGCTTGCACCGCAGCATATTGCGGACTAGACCATCCTTTTCGTCTGCGACTCCCATCCCCTTGCCCTGCTTTCCGTGCAGCTGGCCTATGCATACAAACCATGACCTGCTTGCTCTCGGGAAGGCACAGGACAGGGGGCCCGAGTCTGGAATAACGCTTGCGTGTTGTGGACACCGAACCGATTTGCATCGTAACGACCTCGCAAGCAAGCTAGGCAGGTTCACACGACATCTAAGCGGGTGGATCGCACTACTGTCTACAAATCTCTCTCTCTCTCTCACCATGTTGGTGCCGCTGCTGTTGTTACAATGATGTGCTTTTACCCCGCTCAACGCCAGAACGTGTGATGGCGATGAAGCGCGTTTCCTGAGAGGGGGTCGACAGAGGAGATTCACGGGCGGGGGTATCACATCGATCCACTGATACGCTCCCTCCCTGTCCTCCTGCTCTGCTCTGTTGTCTGTGCACTCACTTTGTTCCCCAGCGTCAGGATGACGTTTGCAGGCAAGCAGAAGGTGAGCGTACCGGGACTGTACTCCGACAATATAGCACTTGAGTGATGCACCTTTGTTCTTCGCCGTCAATTCTTGTGTTACACGCGCAAATGACCCACGTAGTCCCTGGTATCTACTACAATTGCATTGGAAACAGCAGTGCAATGCACCACATTGGTCCGTTTTTTCGATCGCAAATTCAAATTGCACCTGAACAAGTAACCATGCGATGACGATCAATCGGCTCTTTACACATATGCAGACAATAGCAATAGTGTTGAACCCTCCGCGATATCGAAAGCTGAAACTGAAGAAAAACATATTTTACATTTTACTAACATGAACGCGATGGTCGTCGCTGCACCACACAACGCATACTGGGTACTACGCGTAGATAGTACTGCTATCGGGCCGTGTTATCGCCGGAGCTGCGTGGCGCAATGCGTACGTGAGGTGGTACCACGATGTAGTCTGCATTATTATTTTATGTAGAATGTATAGACCTTAGACGACAGTCATTCCCCGTGCACCGGATCCAAACACGCGTACACCTGTGTTGCACACCCCACCAACAACAAAAAAACTGTCTTCAAAACGCGAGGCGTTTTTCCTGGTTCGGGGATTAGCCGTTTATCATCCCCTCCCCAAAAACATTGCGCCGCGCCCACGCGGTCGAGGCACAAGTTTCCCTCGTGTGCTGCGCACAGTGATCGGTTCGGCGTCGCCTCGGGAGGAGACGCGAGAAGAAATCCTAGGCTATGCTGGTGAGTTGGTTTGGGCCCGAAGGCACAAGAGATTGACGCGCAAATTAGATGCTCGTGAGAGGTTGTCCAATTCCCTCGCGCAATGACCCTGTGTTTTTCGCCGCAACTTTTGGCGTACTTTGGGCTCAAAACGCGGGTCGCAGGGTGGCCCGCGAGACAAAATGGCTAGACCCCACACTAGGTAGATGTATGATGAGCACCCATGGAATCACCGA